AGAACAAAAAATTTGAAACAATTCAGGATGAAGAATGAAATCATTTATTGACTCGTCTGAAACAATAACAGATAAAATCATTTTCAGATAACAGATGAAGGATGAATTTGAAGTACGGATGTTTGATACAGAGAAGCCACCCGTGATGAATCTGAAGGACTGATGTAGATGAGCTTCACGTGAAAGTTGCAGAGACTATGAAGAAGGCAGAAACGTTGAAAGGGAGATACAAGCTGCCAAACAAATTTTCAAAATGTAATTTGAATTAACACGCGGAATCAATTTTTGAACGTCGTATCCAAACGTCATGTGCGAGCTCACGTGTTGAAAATTGATTTGAATTAACAACCAAACAGAGCCAAAAACTTTACTAAAAAAAGTTCACATCAGTTTTTACTAGATCAATACAACATCAACAAAAAAAATCAAAGACACATTTAGTGATAAATTTATCACTGATAATTTTTACTGAACATTTTAGTAATAAATTAATCACAGAGTGATTTACAAAAAAAAATACATATGTCAAATCTAACCCATTCAGTCACTTACACTCATTTACTCACAACATTCATCCTCTTATGCACACATATAGAACATGATAGACTGATAAATTCAACATTGATAAATATATTTACAATTGGTCTGTTTTGGCAAACAAAGAGATAGAGAGACAGAGAGGAAAGATGAAGGACGAGATCTGAAAAAACATTGTGATTTTGGAGTCAATTTTTCCACTAAAACAACTAGATTGGTGTAAATCTAGAACTAAATCGGTGGATCAGCGATAATAGAATGGAGATTGGAAACGTATAGTGCAGATCGGTGATGGAGGAGTGTAAATTAGTGATGGTTGGTAAAAACGATGGTGGTGGATCGACGATGGTGGAGTGTAGATTGGCAGTGATAGCCAATGAATGGCGACGATGAACGGTGACAATGGTAGTGGGCAGGTGGTGGTCGGCGACGGTGGCTGGAAATAATGATGGTGAGGCTTTTGGAGAAAGAGAGCAAAAAACAAAATAGAAGAGGAGATGAATGAATTTTATAGATAAAAATTTAATGAGAATAACATAAGTAATATAAGACTTATAGGTATTTAAGTTTCCTTTATGGAATTAGCTGGTAATTAACAATTTATTTTTTATTTTTTTTGGTGCCTTGAAGGGCTATTAAATTATTTAAACCCTTTTAATAATTATTTGAATTTAAAATATTAATAAAACTCAATTATAAAATAAATATAATTTGTTAAAAAGTTCTTTGTAGTTTAAACTATAGAAAGAAGTGTGTATATATATGTATTTTTCTTTATCTTTTGTTATTTGTTTAATTTATTTTGTAACTAAATAATATAAAATTTAGGCTAAAACTATTTATTCCAAGTCTAGCTTGCAAATTAAATGGGCTAAATTTTTTTATTCAAGTTGGTCTATGAACTAAATATTTTTTCTAAATCTTAAATATATTAGACTAAACTAGCGTAGACGGATTCAACGGGCCATCACACTGATGGCCACTCCTACCCCCACCATCAATCCTTTCCTTTGTCCCCAACCCCAAACCATCAATCATTTTATATGTTTTAATGATGCCATTAACACTCCCCCTCCATGTCTACTCCCGTTCTTTTGGCTTATACGTATAATTAATACATTTTATATTATAATTTTATCACTAAATAAAATTACAATAAATTACAAATATGAATTATCTGAGATTTGCTTAAAATACGAATTATCTCAAGTTGTTTTGGAAATAGAATCCTACCTTTTTAAGTTTCTAGTTGTATAACAAATTATTTATTTTATTAAAAAATTATCAAGTCAATTAACAGTTTTTAATAATATTATAAATATATTTCAATTAACAATTCATGTAATTTTATTATTATATAGGAGAGTAGTTAAAAATTTTATTATTTCTGTTATTTCTATTAAACGAACAATTCTAATAAATAGTTTCTTGTTATGAAAGATTTGAAAGATGAAACTCATATTTTGAGAAGAGCATTCATTGTTCACGACAAAATTGAATGGATCGATAAAGATTCATCACACAATTTGGCCAAACAAAACAAATTAAATGAGCTCCTCCTAATGGTTGCGATGTTCCTCTATTTTGGAAGAGATAGAATGCTTTGTTCATTTATAAAGAAATTACCAAGATCAACCTATGTCTTTACGCGCATCAATCTTTCAAAATTACTCTTGAAATATTTAGCCCAAAAATGCTTGAATTCTCACCATTTTGATTAGTGCCAATGTCAAGATCTCTACAGTTGAGGAAAGCCTCGCGTGGTGACTGTATGACATATGGTGCCATGAAATCATAAAGCTTTCGCAATGACTCTACCACGCTATTATCTTGATTGTAGTACCAATATTAGATTAGAAATTTGTATCCTGATCTATGAGGGAATAAAGTTTCGGACTTAGAAATCTAATTCATTTTTCCTCAATATGGGTTCCACTACATTATCAATCCCATACCCATTTTGATCATCTTCTTCCAAAATTGCCTTTGAAATTGGTGTTATCACGTAGTCCGATTTCACCTTAAAGAGAAATGCTTGATGTGTCATCCAGTAAAGTGGGGTATCCAAGGAAGTTCCCTTGGGTTGATCATTCTAGTAAAGAGTGGTTTCAATCCAACTCGAGTCGATATAGTCCTTTTGTTGCAAACCCAATTCGGGAAACTACTGATTCATTATTGAAAGAAGTGTATGTGATTGCCCTAGGTATTGACCAAAGAATTGAAATTTAATGCTCGCATTCTTCTCTACACTCATTTGAAGTCTTATGAAAATGTCTTCTGGTAGTGTGTCTGCAACTTTTTGCCACCAACAGACAATGTCTGTTATACTTGTTGTTGCACCTTGTTTTATGAGCTTTTTCACCATAAAAAAAGGTAACAACTTCAAGAACTGACACCAACTTAATTTTCCAAGAAAGAATGACCCCAAAGCTAGCTCCACCACCTCTAATAGCCCAGAAATGATCTTCTCCCATGGATTATCTATTGAGGATTTTTTCATTAACATTATTAACTAGTTGTGCATCAATAATGTTATCCACAGATAAGCCACACTTTCTCATCAAGTTTACATACCCAGCCCTAATGAAATGCCCACCAACTCCAACAAAAGGACATATTCCGCCTGGAAAAGCATGAGTCTTGCTTTTTTGGGAAATGCAGAGATAAAGTTCACTGAGACTAGCCTCTGCCTGTACCTATGTAGTTTCTGTTGCAATGTTTACATTGATGGATCGAAGATTGGACATGTGAACAAATGGTTCATTTGATATGTAAGAAAGGCCTTCATAGTCATGACCTCCACTTTGGATTCTAAGATGATAGTTATGATTCTTGGTACAAATGACAGTTGCTTGGCCATGGGATTCATGCGTGGCTGCTACGATGGCCATCGGATATCAGGTTTTAGTTGTATTTAGTCTCTAAGATCTAAAATATGCATAGAAAATATCCAAGAAAGAAGAGCTTTCATGAGTGTAAATGGCTTCCGAGATTGGTTTTATCGATAGACCAGCCTGTTTTTTGAGGCATTGGACAAATGGTTCCGTAGCTAGGTTTGAAGTTGCCAATGGAATTGAGAACAAAAAGGTTGAAACTAGCACTAAGAGCATTGCGATGCTTGAAAGCTTCATTTTCTATAACTTGTTTTCCTATCAAATTTCTCAATGTTTTGAGCTTTTCTTAATTTCATATCGTATTTATATTTTTATTGAAATAATGAAAGAAGCTTAATTTGTAGTATAGTATAATAATTTTTGGCATTTTATTGTTTAGAGTCAACAAAATCTTTTAAAATACCTTAGTACAATATGAACCTTTTCTACCCATACACAAAATTTATTGAGTACATTTTTAATCTTGCAAGAAACATATGCACAATGACAACTTTTTTGATGAATATATTAAGTTTACTATAGTCCTATTTGGTAGGGCTTATTTCCAACTTATTTCAGCTTTTAGCTTAATTTAAGCTATTTTGATATGTTTGGTTCAGCTTCACAATACAGCTTATAGCTTTTTGTAAATCAAAAATCAACTTATTCTTTGAGTGGGGGAGGAGAAACTTAATTTATAAGTCAAAAATCAGTTTACGTTTATAGCTATAAACTATAAGTTATTAAATTATAAGTTATAATCACTTTCTCACCGTCCTACCAAACGAGGCCTATATTATTTTAGAAATATTATTTTTCAATTTACTATAAATATTCGAGGACAACATCTTTCCAACAGATACAATAGTATTTTCTTTTAAAATCATTGATTGAGTGAAAATACAATCCTCCCACTCCCACCAAGCAAAGAATAGGGACTTTTCAATAACTTTACCTCTCAAAATATCTAAATGTTTTTTCAATTTTGTTCTTCTCTCCGAGTTCACACACATGTACTACTATATAACAAAAACATTGTGAAGCCTTTGTTGATTAAAACCTCAATTTTCTCAAATTGTTGAATTTTATAATGTAAAATAAATATGCGTTGTCACATTATTGATTCTCATCCCCCCCCCCCCAAAAAAAAAAAAAATTTATTTTTTAACTTTATATGGAAATATTTTTCAAATTTTATCCATTAATTAGAGAATCTTTGAAACTTTCATCTATATGAAAACTTTCTATTTCTTAAATTGATTTTGAAAATCACAATATATTTTTCTCAAATTTTTAAATTTTTATCATTCATTAGTTAATTATTTTCTCAAACCTCAGGGGGGTATCTGTAATTTTGTCAAACCTGGAGGGGTGTATATGTAATTTGCCCAATTTATATTTACATCACTTTACTTTTTTGATAATTATTCTGATTACTTTTTTCAGCTCACTAATTTTTTTTTCAATTTTCTTATTAACCATTGTTGACATTATCATTCAACACCTATATATCAATTTTCTAAAAATACTTCTCAGAAAATAAAATGTGTGAGCCAGATGCATTATGATTGTGACCATAGATTACACAAATTTTGAATCTAATTCACACACTTTATTTTGGATAATTTTTTGAATTACTTTTCAAGATCCATAACTATATATCCATGCAAGTTTTGCTACTCAATTTGGCTTCCAAGTCCCTAAGATATATACAAAATATGTACATATAATCTACATATGTAACCAAACTGTTCAAAGGTTACATAAAAGCATAATTAGCTCTTACAGTTTCTGGCCTTTTATAGATTACTTACTTCACAAACAGAAAGTTACTAAGCATTCTCTGCATCACTTGAACTCGGCCGAGCATCCAGGTTGACTTCATCGGTGAACTCCTCTGCTATCCTCCATCTGTTGAAACACATAGCGTGTAACGTATGATACAATATATTGGAATGAGAATCTTTAAAATCAATCTGTACCTCTCAAGAACAAATTTCCCTTCCTTGTATTTATGGGTATTGTCAGATGCTGCCACCTACGCAAATTCAAGAACACCAGCATATTAACAGTAAACACGACAGAGTGTACCAATAGGAGATGAATTCTGTGAAATCTTTTCATAATCTGAAATACAAAAAAAAGTTCTTCACGTCTCTTTAATCTCTTTGAGAACATGATTATCTCATTGCACACAAATTTTTCTCCAACTTTTAGTAAAAAAGAATTCATTAAGACAAATTCCGTGCAATTTTTGAAGAAAACGTTTCGTTTATGTAATTATCTGTATCACCCAATACCACAAAAATGGTTTGCAAATATCCCAATTTTCTTGGCTCACTTACACAGTATAAAGAAATGAAATCTATGATCCTGCACAACCACACACAACATTCAAAAGACAAACTATAACTGTTCCATCCAAGCTTTACTTCAAGTAGCTCACTACAATTCGAAGTTCCTCTTTTTTCTTTTTTGAGCTTGATTCAAAAGACAGATTTGCTAAAAGTGTTGGAGTAAATGGATTGAGGGAGCTTACATATTTCCAGCCAAGAATTTGTCCACAACAGCAGCAAAATATGTCACAAACAGTATGCTTTCCAGTAAGCATCACCCTTTCCTCCATAGGTCCAACTGATATATTTACACTGAATAAAAATGCCAAAGCCGTAAAAGTGAAGACTGATAAATAAAAATCTTCATCGCCATTACTTTAGTTCATGAAAGAGATGCATTGTAATATATACTTACTAAGAGTTTTAAAATAATGTGACATCGATGACAAGCACAAATCAAATGTAAAGGTATAATTATTGAAATTCTGTTTGTGAGAGATTGACAGACCAGACATGCCCAAGTCAAAAATGCATACCGATGCCACTGTTACTGTTTGTACCAAAAATGTCATGCCTGGATTGGGACACGCAGCTGGATTTGAGAGAGAGAATAACAGAAGTGGAAAACTTTAGCAAGACTGGTGTTTGAAAGAGGAGTGTAGGCTGAGGGTACGTGAACATGTGGTTGTCCTCGCATGCCCGTGCATCACACTATCAGGTAGTGTTTGGTTCATTGGAATGGAATGTAATGGAATGATCATTCCATCAAAATGTCTATTTCCCATGCTTGGTTGACTTTAATAAATAAAATAAAATAAAATAAAAACTGCAAATGGAATCATCATTCACCTTGTAAGGAATGACTATTTCATTTTAGTGAACCAAATAAAGCATCAAGAGTTTTTTCTATACATATAATTTCATTTAGGGAAACGGTCACATATTGTTCAAAAGCAGAGGAAAAAGGTTGAAAAAACATCAATTCATTTCGTGAGAAGCATTACACATGCTCTAGGAGAACTGCAAGAGCCTTGTGCACTAGGTTTTAAGGATTTTGTGAAAGTGGTTTTGATGCTGCAAATTCCTACTATTTGAGGGTGAAGCCAAGGAAAACTAAACATATCTCTAGCCTTGGTGAGCAATGTAAGAAAGTGTACTGCCGTTTTTGAGGATCACAATGAAGAGGCTAATATACTCAATGGAGGTGTGCAAGGCATAGATTCGGTTTGGATAAAAGAAACTACTGATCAAGACTTTACTTTGCAAGCCTATAGATATCTAATAGATTATTTGAGTTACCTTTATCCCACTTTACAATTTTCATAGTGTCCCTCCACTATTAACCAGCATTACATTACATCAGAAGCATATTCAATTAGTCACAAAAAATAAGAGCACTAAGCATCGTTGGGGCCCACTAGAACTATGACTTGCTCCTTTTCAACTAAAGTAGCTAGATAAATTCATTGTCTTAACAAATAAAATATAATATAATAAAATAAACACAAAAACAAATAATCACCAAAACAAAACTCTAGAGCTATTTATGCAAGAGAATACAGATATTAATGATAAAAAGTGAAATACAAATTACTAGCAATGAAAGTAAGATTTTTGTCATTTCGGTCAAAAGAGTGATAATCTCTTAGCAAGGTTGGAAAAATCAAGATTGAAAGGATAGATCAGCCATTCAGTTGTAATATACATTAAATTAATAACTGAAAAGCAAAATAGCATGCATACATTGTTTGTCAGAAGGCTGAGATAACAAACAGGGGTGATCAAAGTATTTATGCAAAACAATATGTTGTGAGAGGAAGTTACTGGTGCTAAGAGGAGGAAACAGTCCTAAGAAAACCAATTCTAAAAATGAGAAGAAATGGATGTTTCTGTTATGGCTACTTATTGGGCTCTTGGTTTGTTAACCTGTCATTGATGCAAAGACCTCTTCTATAAGGCTTCAACTCATATCTTCAACCAACAAAAAAAATATTAAGGGAGCATTTCAACTTGGATTTTGGATCCTAATAGACAACAGAGAATTGCTAAATTTATTTATTGAAATATCATTGGTATGACTAGTTATTCAAATCAAGTCACAGTACAAATAAATTCAAATATGACAATAAAAATGAGAAATAGATTTCATGACTGCCTAATAAAAAGTAAGAACACTTTTCACTTTAATTTGGCCTAAGATATCATTCAGTGAAAAACACACCTTCCCCCTCGTCCAAGAGAAAATATACCAAAAAAGGAGAAAAGAACAAAACACAAATGCACACAAAATGAAGACATAACCATTTCCATAAATTCCTAAAATGAAATCAAACATAAAAAGAAACAAAGAATATTAAATTGTTAATAACTTACGCATTGTTGAAAAGGTATGCCCTCCCATGACCGCAATTGAATGACTGGTCATAATACATAGCTACGATTAGTACCAAAGATGTTGCAAATACTCAAACTAAGCAAACACACTGGATTGCAAAAAAGGGGCAGATAATTATGTTGTTACAAAAGAACAGTATTAAGATACATGCATATAATATTTTGAAAAGTAAAACTTATGTGTTTCTCACTTTGTCAAAGAGAGTGGCATATAGATTTCATACTGATAGACAACATAATGACTCAACCTATGAAGCACGGATACTAGTACAAATACATTACGGGTATGTTGATATGGAAAAACTTTAAAAAATGTAGGATACGAGTACTTTAGGGGTACGTCCATAAAAATTAAACAAACAAAAAAAAAATTATAACTTTTAGTAGTGTATACAAAATGATTAGAAATCAATTGCAAAAAGTAGCTAAACCAAGGTTCAAAAGTAGAGTTTAATGCCAATCAATAGAGAAAGATTACCAACAGAGAGACAAAAGCTTAATTGATAGAGAAAATATGATTGCTTAATTTGTAAAGATTAAAGACAACCATAAGTATTCTCTCAAATATGTAATATTTGCAAAAATACTATTTATTTTTTGAGTTTTTAACAATGGATACAATCTATTTTTTTAGTACCCCTATATGTAAAAATATATATTTATATTTATGACTTGATATACTCACAAAAGTACCTGATGTGTACCCATGCCATACTCAAGGCATACCCATGTCATTACATTCAATTTTTTTATTAAAAAAAAAAGTATCTGATGTGTATTTCACGTACTCAAAACACATGCACCCACATCAGTTTGTGAGAATACCCGTACTGGATCCGTACCGAAAACTCATACGAGATAATTTTTGGAGTACCAATGCTTCATGGGACTCCACTTTCCCAACTGTTCCAATTCTCTACTCTCCCTCTCCCTCTCCTACTACATCATTATGCATATTTTGCTCATGCATACTGTATGCAATGGTTTATCTATATTTTCCTTAACGTTGTTCTTGGTTGGGGAATTTGAGGAGTGATTGGAAAGGAAAAAAGAAAAGATAGATGAAATGTGAATAAAATATACATATATTTCACCTAATTTCACACGCCTTTTCCCTTTTTCTTTTCAAATCACTCTTTAAATCCCCAAACCAAACACAGCTTAAAGGTTTCCTTAGAAGGAAAGAAATCAAATACGATGAACTAAAATTTAAACAGAGTTGGAGTTTTGGAATGATGAAATGTAACAAAATGAAACATAATAATACTTTCAGAAATGTGTTTTTACACGGTCAAATTCTTTGTTTTTTAAAATTATATTATTTTATTTGACGCCTAATCATTAAAAGAAAATTGCACTAGGAATATCTTAAATTCTAATATTGTAATCTACAAAAGTCACTCCTCTTGAGCATGTCGCATATCCCGTCCCGTTCCTGTTTCCCATTCCACATACTGGTTTCTTGTCACTAGGATTTGCGAGTAAGATATGTTAGTAAAACAAACATTCTCCCTCCTCTTTTCATTCTTTCTTGAAGGTTTCTCAACTTCCAATGCCCCCATTCTTTTTAAAAAAAAAAAAAAATCAAAATCCAAATTCATGCATGAGGCACAAATCTTGTAGTATCGAATCAAATTCATGAGTAGAATATTAAAAGTTCAATACCATCAAACGTTTGACATCCACAAACAAAACCAAATATACACAACCCATTTGACATAAATATACAGAATAACTTTGATTCTATTCTTTTGAGTCAATATCTAAATCTTAAACCAATTGATTGTGGGTCTCTAATTAATTTCATCAATAACCCCCAAAATTTGACTGAAAAACAATACATGCAAACACACACACACACATATATATATATATATATAGATAAGTAGAAAGCATAGAAGGAAAGAGAGAAAAGGGAAAGGGAAACGAGGAGGAGGTGAGTCTGACCCGAGAGAGGACATCGTCAGCAAAGGCAAGGGGTGTATGGCAGTATCTGCATCTGTAAGAGCGGCCTTCCAGCTCCACCAGAAACACTCTCCCCATATCCTCCTCTATCCTCTGCTCTCATCTACCCAACCCAACTCTCTCTCTCTCTCTCTCTCTCTCTCTCTGCATAAACTCCACTTGTCTGTAAAAACCCATCGAGTCAATTGACGGTTTTTTTTTTTTTTTGGTTATGCATTTTTTATTTTAAATCATAATGTTTTTATTTTAACAAATTGATTGTGGGTCTACTCTTTTCATTTCCGTAAGGAAGGAAATTTAAAGTGAAAAATGCTTTAAATCTTAAGATTTTTTTGTGTAATTAATTATTTTTTAAGATTAAAATTATCAAAAATAAAAAATAGTTAATTACAAAATAAATTCTAAAGTTTCGTGTTTTTTATTTTAAATCCACTGTTTTTTCCTTTAAACCCTCTCCGTTATTTTATTAAGACGAAAATAGACGGAAGAAACACATTAAAACATAAATGGAACTCTAAAATTTAATTTGTTAAAATTAAAACACCACAGTTTAAAATGAAAAACTTGTGAAACCTTAAAAAAAAAAAAATTGTAATTAACCATTGTTTTTGTTTATAAAATTTTAAAAATGAAAAAACAAAAATATAAGATACAAGGTGTTGTCCGGGTCCTAATAGTCTATTATGGGTCTTGATTCCATAATTTAAATTTAAATAGTTCATTTCTTAAATTCTTTATTTATATGATTTACATATAAAATTAGATTGGTTTGATAATTCTAATTTATTCAAAGTTCACAAAAATTGATGATGACTATTTTTAAAAATAAATTATTCATTTTTTTTGTGACAAAAGTAATAAATTGAATAGATGCTTCGTTTGGGAAGTGGGTTGATTTTTTGAATTTTTGATTTTTTTGACTATTTTAGTCTGAGCTAAAAAGGCTTGATTTGGGAAGGATTTTTGGCTTTTTTTATGAGAGAAGAGTATAATGATTATGAGTTGAATGTGATGTTTTGTTTTTTGTGATTAAAATAGTCTATTTTGTCTTTTGTGGTTAAAATAGCTAAAAAAAACCTAGAAACCAACTTGCCAAACGGAGGCTAAGATTATCAAATTGATAGAATTTTTTTTTAAATATATACACAAGATCCTACAAAATTAATAAATTTAAAATATCGAAATAGGACCATAATAATACTGAAACAATACTTTTTAATCCACATCATGGATGGGATGAAAGTCCAATCCAAATAAATTCATCAAGTAAATGTTATATTTGTAAAATATGGCAACAGTTTCAAAATTGAAAGAGTTATCACATTTTTAGTCTCTTCTAATATTTAAATTGGGTCAAATTTGTCATCAATATATAAGAATGTTTCAATTTGATTCTCAAGCTTTTAATTGTATTAATTTGGTTCTCAACGGATAAAAAAAGGAAAAATACTTCCCAGAATAAGAAGCTCAGAAAATACACAGAATTTAAAATCAATGGTGATGAATTACTTGAAATATGGGCCCACAAAAACAACTTTACATGTGAACCATTGATAAAAAAAATTTGGTTTATTTTTTGATCAGTTTTCTGGGATTGTAGACTTTTTGATAAAAAAAATAAATAAATAAAATTTGAAGACTAGATTTACACAATTTAAAAAGGAATAATTTGAAACACACTAATGCATTGGGAATTATATTGACACAAAAATATATAATTTGGGAACAAAAAATGTAATTAATCCAATTTCAAACTTGAGTTCAAACATTTAGTTTTGTTGAATTTTCATAACTTATTTTCTGAATTTTATTTTTGAAAAATTACAAATTTAAAAAGATATTTTTAAAAAATTTCAAATTATTTATTTTAAGAAAAAAATTAAATGAAAATAATGTGTAATTTTTTGTCAAATTAATTTTATAAAAAATTAAAAATAATTTTCAAAAACTTAATCAAACAAAAATTAAAATTGACCCGAGGACCACCCGAAATAATTTTTTATTTATTTTATGAATTAAAATTGACCCGAGGACCACCCGAAATAATTTTTTATTTATTTTATGAAATAAGTAAATATGTTATCATGATTTAAATGCACAAACATAAAAACTATTGCATAGAGATCGTTTGGAATGTAAGTTGGCTTTTTAGCTTTCTAAATATTTTAGTTGAGACTAAAAAATCCCGTTTAGGATAGATTTTTTAACATTTTTTATTTTTATGAGAGAAAAAAATGAAATGATTATAATTTAAATATGATATTTTTTAGCTTGAGACTAAAAAATTTATGGAGTACTTACGTGTAGATCATAATAAGTGAACTTATTGTCTAATAGGTCTTATGAAAAAAATTTGTCATAAAAAAAGTTACTTTTTGTAAGTTTTAGAGAAAATTTAAAAAAATATGATAAAAAAAATCACTAATTGTTAATTTTTAATGACATATATAAAAAATTGTCACAAAAAAATTATTTTTAGAGACAATTTTATCAAGACTTATTTTCAATAAGACTTAATGAGAATTTAGTCCAACTATTACGATCTATTGATAATTTACTCAAAATTTATTTATTTTTTTGTAATTATTTAAACCCCAATCCACCCGAGCCCATCTTCTCAAACGTGATCATAATCAATTTGTCAAGTTGCGAATTCGCTTATATTTAAAAAAATTGGCTTATATTTAAAAATTCCTCTCAAATGATGCGTTGAATTATTTAAAATTAATAATAGTTTGTTGAGAGTGATACTATATGCACTAATTAATATATCAAGATTAATTATAACTTTATTATTAACCCCATTTATAATACAAATTACAAATATTAAAAATATCTTAAATTATATCACATCATCAATTAATATATTAATTAATACATTAATTGATACATATACCAATACTCTTTTGTTGATTAATTTTTATGGGGTTCCCAATATCAAGGTCGCCTTTGGCCCAATGCCACTACTTTGGTTCTCTAGCAATTGATTGAAAACAAAGCTCTCAAAATGTTTTTAGCTATTATATTAGTCTATAAAAATATTCGCTTATATTTAAAAAGTCCCCTCAAATGATGTGTTGAATTATTTAACATTAATATACGAATGTTTTATCTGAATTTTTTTTTAAAAAAATTAATTGATATTGTGAGTTATTTGAAATTAATAGATGGTTGTTTTCCAAATATATGAATTGTGTATAGAATATGATTAATTATGTTAATTAAGCAAAGTTGTTTATGGGAAAAGAAACCTTTCAAATTTAAACTTGATTAAATCTGTTACAACCCAAACCCACCCCCATGGGTTGAGTATCGTAACCGGCCAGTAATCTGTGATTACCAAACGTCTTCCTGTACAATCAAAAAAAATAATAGGGGCTAGCATAAGCAATATTCAAAAATACCAATAGTCCAATGAGTTGTGCATTTATATGAACAAATATTTACATGTAAAAACATTAATTTCTCCACATTTAGTATATAACTTATAACTTAACATCTTATACATAACATATACACATAACAAAGTGTACTTCATGATCAAAAGCTTGACAACGGCCTTCTAGGCCTAGTCTCAACTCTGAGGCACTCAAAACCACGCGATAGGCTTCAAAACGGTGACTCGGCTGAAGACTCCTTCTGAATTTGTCCTCCATAACGCTCATCTATACATATATATATATATATATATATAGTGAGCTAAAGCCCACTGAATAACATTAAAGTGAAGAGGTAAACGAATTTCACATCATAATGTATACAAAAAATCGTACCATACATATCAATCAATCATATCAGTCTCACATCAGAACATAATAATAGTACATCTAACAGAACATATCACATATCGTCTTTCGACTAGAGTAATCGGTTCTGGATACCGATTAAACACATATCACTACAATGATGTGGCTAACGAGATCTCTTAAACAGTCATATGTCATGGACCCCGTATTTATATGTCGTCTCCCATGACTTGGGACTATCTGTGGATGCCATAATAGATCAAAATAGGACATTCGTTCATGTATCAAAATAATATTTCAGAAACTATAGCTTATCAGATAACAGTTTAAACATATACCATACAAACATATCTTTGCAGAAATGTTACTCACAGTGGACTTCTAGTAACAATTGTGCGGTCTCCGACTCGTAACCTATAATTACAATGCACATAACGCAATACATGTCTAACTTAAAATAAAATCATGACTTCAAATTTAAGCTTAATTCCATGGAAAAAGATCAAACACTTGAATTTCAAGGCAAAAACATAATCCATGCACCTTAGAATTCCAATCTTTGAAATTCATGGAGTTTAATATTCCAATTTCAAGAACCATGCAAGAAAAACAATTTTATGAACATATTTTCATGAATCAATGCCATGCATGTGGAGAGATAAGCTCAAAGTCTACAATTTTTTCCTTAATTACTCAAGAACAACTCTAAACATGCAAGATTTTTTCTTGATTAAATTTAAATCCTCAAAATCCATGACATTTTCCTTCAATCTTAAAAACCCATGTATGAATTGCAAAGTATATAAATAAATCCTTATGAAATCATCCATGCATGACAAGTTTAAAAACTAATTTATCTTATTCTTTCAATTTGAGACATATTCATGTTAAACTCTAATTCTCATAACCAAAACTTCTATCTCATGCATGAAGTCATCTCAATTCAACCTATATTTTAGAAGATGAGGAGTAGATTTACCTTAATTTCAAGAATTTGGAATGCAAATACACTTTAATTTGATGATTAATGAGCTATCTTCTAGTTCTCCCTAAGTTCTTCTTCAATTCTCCTTCTTTGAGTTCAACCCAAGAACTCTCTCTTTTCTTCCCTCTCTTTACGTGTGGGTTATGTAATAGCTCCACCAAACCAAGTACTATCTCTCTCATTTGTTGTTTATTAAGGAGATAAAAAGATGAGTAGAAATTTCATATAATTACCATTTAATATTAAACTTAATTCATCCAAAATTAATAAATTATTCCTAATTACATTAACTTAATCATCATCACAATAAAATCTCAATTACACTAAATTAAATTATACTA